CATAGATTCCGAAAACAACCGTTTAAGGCTGAAGCGAGTTGCCGTGATTAAATAAATAAATAAATTGAGAACAAATGTCATGAATAGTTGAAAATGTCATCATCCACCAGCCTTTTACCGACTTAAACTTTCTCTACGATATTTATCACAAATATGTCAGGTGAAAGAAAGTTATTACGCATCCCTTTCCCCCTTTTATCTCTCGCACTCTCTCTCTCTCGCACTCTCTCACAATCTCCCTCTCCCCTTCTCTCTCTCTCTCTCTCTCACCCTTTCTCTCTATCCCTATCTTTCTCTCTCTGTCTCTACCTCTCTCTCTGTGTCTCTATCTCTCTTTCTCTCTCTCATCCCCTCTCTCTTTCTTTCTCTCTCTCTCTCTCTCTTTCTCTCTCTTTCTCTCTCTCTGTTCCTAGTATCACCTTGAATGTTCTCTACCTGGCATAATCACCATTCAAACCACTATCATCACCATTATCATCATCATCATCTTCATCGTTATCATCGTCGTCATCTCCTTCTTCTTCTTCTTTTTCTTCTTCTTATTCTTCTTCTTCTTCTGCTTCACCATCACAATTTCGTTCACTATCGTCGAACAAACCAACATAATATATCCCTCATGCATTACCAAAACCACAACACTCTCTTTGAATAAAACAAAAGTAAAAACATGATATTCTTTGATTTCCCACTCAGGTCATGCAGTTTTATTTCAGACTTTTTTCAACCAATGATACCCACACGGGCCACACTAACAAACGATCGCCAATGGCGTTTACACATGCACCATGTAAAAGCGTTGAGAAGGGGGCAATGCACCACGCCCTTTTGACATATTATTATGCACCTTTCATTTTGTTGATCATCAAAATAAATCATATTTAATCAAATTAAACCGTTTTGATACATTATTAAGATTGGTATTAAAGCGAAATATTGTTTGTGGATACCAGTGGAAAAACTTGCAACGCCACTCGCGATCGTTTAATAAGTTTTCTCATACTCGTTTCCCTTAATTGATAGTCATCTTCTATTTTATTTACAAGTTTGTACATAGAAGGGAGGGAAATACATCTCATCAACATTTCTGGCACATTTTAAATGTATCCGAGGTTTCCTCTGCTCTACTAACACTTAGCAAACACATAACAAATAATTTGTATGTACATTGGCATTACAGTGGTCAAAATACCAACAGAACTGTATGTATAATCGAATCGTTGTCGTTTGATATTATTTATTAGCATTTATTGTCAAAATATTACGTCATTGTATTCTACTCTCCAGCATTAAGAGGTGTCACGAACCGAATATAGTTTAGATCATTTCTAGTACTATTTCTTCTATCGTAAATCGTCACAAAAATGGAATACGCAGGAATTAGGAACGTGTATTATATTATGATCACTTAAGGAGCGTAACAGATTAGAATAATACCCAATCGTAGGCTCTTAGTCTTTCGAAAACGCTGAATGTATGTGCAATTCTTCATAAACTCATGAGCTACATTTAGTGAACAACATCATTTTAATTGATAATTATTTTGACAGGTGTCAGATAATGATTGTATTATAAATGATAACCACAGTTGTACATCTTTTCCTCCTTTACACTGAATAAATATTTTAAAGGGAATTGAAACTGAGCACGCGTCTTTCTTGGACATGATAGATACGAATACATAAGCGAAATAAGTTAGTTGATCTAATCGAGCCTGAACATGGAATGACGATTTCCTGATTCATATTACAATTGCTTCCTTAAAAGACCTTATTCATAGCAGAAACAAGTGCTGTGTTCCTCTCAGTCTGGCAAACATTGAATGAGGTTGAACTTCCTTCAAACCAGATTACAAGTAAGATTTTCTTCCATCGGAGAAGGAACTGGGCTGAGAAAAGTAGGGGGTGGGAAAGAGTCACTTCATCTGATGTCTAACCAAGTTGGCGCATAAGGCTCGCTGTTTCAGACGGCACTGCTATGACGTTGTAGTCTGAATCAAGTAATCCAAGAGCTTGCATTCGGTTCAGTTTTTCTTGGTAGTCGGCTACTTCATTGGCGTGTAGCCGTAACTCGCTCACAAATCGACTGAACGCACTGAAGGAAGACCCGTCAGATGAGACACCTGTTTAATAATAAAAACAGAAAAGAGGGAAAAGAACAAATACATTAATAAGTGATTAGGAAGGAGGAAATTCACAATTATTTCTAAACAATCCGATGAAGGTTAACATATCATTTTGAACCCTGGTAAAGAAGATGCTTATCTATTTAGAAAAACTAAAAATCATTATATTGTGCACAGTAATTGTAATGAGTGATGTCAAGCAGCGTCTTGCAGCAGAATGCACGAATGCATTGTATGATCCTGAAAAAAATACCCAGCTCTTCGTAGATGCCAGTCCAGTTGGAATCGGTGCAGTGCTGGCACAGAAAAGCAGAGATGGACAGCCCACCGTAGTTGCTTTAGATAGTCGATCACTCACATCAGTATAGCAGCGGTATTCCCAGATTACTTGGGGCATACAGCATTTTCACCTCTATCTCTATATGGCAACACGTTTTAAGCAGTCACTGACCACAAGCCTCTGGTGACTACATTCAACAATGCTCATAGCAAACCTCCAACGTGAATTGAAAGATGGATTCTCAAGATTCAAGAGTATGACTTCACTGTCGTAAAAGAGCCTGAAAAGTCCAACCTATGTCTCTCCATCCGCTGCCGACTACTGAGCGTACATGAGCCGCGAAGAGAAAACAGCAGAGTAACATATCAACTTCGTGAGCGTGAACGCAGTACCAAAGTCAATGAAGCTAAGCGAAATCCAAGACGCGACCAAACAAGACGTCGCATTGAGTCTCTGTATGCAAGCTCTCAGATCGCGAAATTTGAAAGAATTGATTGATCAATACCGCTCCATCTTCAGATGTAGCGAGATGCCTGCAGAGCTTCTACAATGTTCGCGACCAGTTGTCAATCGCACCCAGTGATGATTTTATGTTACGCGGAAATTGCATTGCCATCCCACAATCGCTATGTGATCGCGTAATCAATATCACACATGAAGGCCCTCAAGGCGTCGTGAAAACCAAGCAGTTTCTGAGCGAAAAAGTGTGGTTTCCTGGAAATAATCGCATGGTTGAGCGTAAAATAAGTCAGTAGGGCCAAGTCTTCGCGCACCACTTCAAATGTCAAATTTGCCGAATGGTCCATGGGAATAAGTCAGCGTAGACTTTGCCGATTTGCCCTCTGGAGATCATCTTTTAGTGATTATTGATGATTAAAGTCGATACCCAGTTGTAGAAGTTGTATCATCGACGTCGGGAAAAGCTACAATTCCAAAGCTCGATAAAGTTTTGTCATTGTTTGGAGTCCCGCAGATTGTAAGATCCGATAATGGTCCGCCATTTAACAACGATGAGTTTGTGCAGTTCGCAGAATACCTAGGCTTCACCCATCGCGATGGTCATGTGCAAATTGTGAGGTAGAGCGGTTTATACGCACTTTGAAGAAAGTTCTCCGCATGCACCGCACATGCCGAATCCTAATCGTGGAGCCAAGTTAGAGCTACATCGCTTTCTTCGCAACTATCGTGCAACACCGGACACAACCACAGCATCACCTCCGGCAACAATAATGTTCTCAAAACCTTTGCGCACACTGCCAGAAATATCACGTGAAGGAAGCGACTCAGAGCTACGCGAACGCGACACTCAAAGCAAAGAAAAACACCATGAAAGCTGATGCTGAACGCCACATGTCGTTCAGACGTGTTCCCCTCTGTATAGGAGACACGGTTCTAGTGAAGCGTGAAGGGTATGTTACTAAAATGATGACATCCTATGAGCTAGAGCCATTGGTAGTCACCGATGTCAAAATAATGTTCTCAAAACCTTTGCGCACACTGCCAGAAATATCACGTGAAGGAAGCGACTCAGAGCTACGCGAACGCGACACTCAAAGTAAAGAAAAACACCACGAAAGCTGATGCTGAGCGCCACATGTCGTTCAGACGTGTTCCCCTCTGTATAGGAGACACGGTTCTAATGAAGCGTGAAGGGTATGTTACTAAAATGATGACATCCTATGAGCTAGAGCCATTAATTGGTAGTCACCGATGTCAAAGGCTCGATGGTCACAGCAAGTCGTGGATCGCAAAAGATAACACGCAACACGTCTTTCTTCAAGGCCATGAAGGAAAACCTCCCAGCTGAACCAGTTTCTGTAGAAGCTGAACAGGAGCAAAAAGAACAATTCAATGCTCCTAATGACTTGTCAGATGACAATGAACAAACCAATCCAACTACCCCAAAGGTTTAGAGGTATTGGAGCCGTACTCGAAATCATCCAGCTTTCATACTTGAAAGACTACGTAACCAAAGTTAAGGTTGAGAAGTAGCGTAATACATGTTAAGACTAACATTCATCAAACGTGTAAAGTAATGATACAACATCATCCATTTTATTTTGTTAATCATTTATGTGTATGCAACAGCAGTCTGTAATCAAACAGAGATATTCAATGGTTTTAAGTTTGAAATATGTAATCTTGATGTTTACTACTATGCAGCAGGAAAGCCCATACGGTATTTACACATCATACAAACTAAAAGAACAAATGCTTTTAAAGCATATAATAGCAGGTCAGCTATTGTCACAATCAAGTCTTTGCTAATTTAGTTTTTAGTTTGACAAATCATTTCATTTTACCTTTTGGATGTTACTGACAAAATAACAACAGTATATGAAGAGTTTAATTCCAAAAGGCGCTAAATCCACTTTTGGCGTGTTCGAGTAAATCAAGGTTTTCTGTTAGACCACTTTTATTTCAACGAAACCGCCAAATTTTCACACAGTTCAAAGATCAAACTCCAAAGATCATTAAAATATTGCTTAAAGAAATCCTGCCATAGTAATTATTTTTTAATATTTTTTTATTTTTTCAATTTGTTCGGATTTAGCGCCTTTTGGAATTAAAATTTTGATGTGTCATTCCGCATTTCAATTTTTTTTTTTTGGTTTTAAGAATGATGTTCGGATGTAATAACATACTTCTTTAATTATAATTCAGGGTCTAACACACACATATCTATCCATTTAACACATTGAAAGCCTACATTATGTTGAACATACTTCTCACATCTCATCATTCTAGACGTTTTCGCTCCACACTAATTTCAATCAAAATGTTTCACATTTCGCAAATAGTTAGTACATGGGCAACTTCAATCATAAAAATGTTCTCTCTATTCAACTTGTAAAAACACACAACCACTCGGGTGACTCAGCACATTTTTAAATTGACAAAATAAACAGGCAGTAAAGACTTGTATTGTGTGAAATTTGAAAATCTTGTAAATTTGCTTTACTCATTATCTCATGTCATAAACGGTGAGTTAATTAAGACATACAAAAATTGGCAAGTACATAAATAATTAATGTACAGTTTCTTTAACAATATCATATGAATGTCAACAAGAAGATACCTTACAATGGAAATTATTCATAGTTCAATAATGTAACCGACTCCTCATAAACAGCAGATAAAAGACATACTTGAGTGCTGATTATGCATACATATTATTTGAATAATTGTTTGTTAACATCCTAATGGAAATAGGAGCAATAAAACTCTACCCATAAAATATCAGTACAATCTACTGTAAAGTTGTGAGATTAGCCACAATCTATTAGTTGTTATTATACAGTAAAGGTAGCAAAGCGCCAAATATTAATTATCTGTGTGAATGCATTCTGGTTTAGTAAATTTGCATTAATAATAACCAGCGCTACTTACAACAAAATGGATACATGGGTAATGAAACGGGATCTGATTCCAACTGCACTGCTCAATGAATGCACATTTTAAAAGCCTTCTCTGTTCTTGAATTAAATGGTTTAAACTGATCCATTAACTGTGTAAAAGGCATAAAATCAAATGTCAATCTTCATAGGAAGCAATAATGCCTTTGTCCTCATCACTCTCTACGTCCATTGCATCAGTAGGCGCGCACACCTCTTTGTAAAAGGCACCTACTTCCTGAATGAAGTTGCGTGGCCCATAACCTACTAGCAGGTCCACTTGTAGCTCCACCCCATCGCTCGTAGAAGATTTGCTACATCCTGCTGCTTCAGCAATGGGAGCTGATTGACCCAAAGAGTACTCCATCTCTTTCCTCTCTTCAATATGGTGTACTCATCTCCAGGTGCGCTATAATACTACTATAGTGACTGGGGCTGGAGCTGGTCTCACGTAGATGCGTTTGGCCTCTGTGATTTTGAATGGCAGGCGTACTTTATTAGGTTGCCCAGACGTTTCCTACCAAGTACAAGGATGGATCTGAATCTTCCGGAGCACATCTTCACATTTTCCCCTTGCTGTGTCGTAATCTGTAAATTACAAGTGAAACATTGTTAATGGACATTTCCAGCTACCTGTATTATAAATCACAAAAACCATACATGAAAAGTTTATTTTTGTTGGTTTCATTCAATCTAAATAAACAAGTTTGTAATACTAAGCATAGCCCCCCCCCCCCTCCCACCAACTGTCCTTGCCTATACTGCTTGTGCATGTTATATCTACATACAGAATTGCATTGCGCGAGTGCACATTTTTTTGCACAGTGTGACATGCAGTGTATGTTGATTGGAGAATTCGTGAATTCACTTTGACCCAGTTGTTTATGGTTCAACCGACGCTACCGGTATAAAATAAAAACATTACGACCTAGTTTGACATGTGTAACATAGATAGCATATTACACATGATAAAACATGTATGCCTCTCCCTCCCCCCCCCCCCCCCCCTCCCCCCAAGTAGCAAGAAAAAACCCAGCGACTAAACAACTCAATTAAAATTAACTGAAAATTATTGCAATGAGATAATTGGTATCAATTCTGGCAATTGTGTATGATCTGTATTCAACAATTTGATTTGCAAGCAAATGATAATTTTTGTTAATGACTCAATTAAAACTTACTTGAAATGTTGGGGCATAGTTCCGCTCTCTCCTTGGTTGTGGACCATTTCCTTGATGGTGCATGACTGGATTGAGTTGTAAGTGGCACGTGATGAATGAATCTTGCCGCGGTTGTTAGAGTCTCTGTAGCGGTCCTGGAAAGTATATGTGATGTCTCCTTCTGTCAGCAAAGACGCCTTAGAAAAGCTGTGAGGCATGTGCTGGCATCCAATGGCTGGTTGCTTCCCTATTGATAAAACGAAAGTCATCATGGTAAACATCAGGTATTCCACAAAAACAAATTCCTCAAATTTAACAAAACACCGATTATGACTGCACTCAAATACAAAATGTTTGTTACAGACTTACAGCAGATATTTTCTTAATAGATGGCAAATTATCATTACACTTATGCTATGGCATGATGTAACAAAGGCTTGTGAAATATCCATAAACTACTGCACCAGGTCCAGGGCAGATAGTGACCAAAGCCAGTGACCAGTGACTGAAGCCGCCAAGCCGGCCCGGCAAAGGCGAAGCCGTGGCGCGGCATTAACACGTAATTTACCCTCACGGCCTCAGTTTAATTACAAAATTGTATCTAGTAATTCCTTAAGCCTTGAGCTCATACTACATGCAAACAGAATTACAATAGTCTTAGTTAGACTATTACGGTAGTATTACGATTCATTCAATGCAATATAATGCCAGTGCATCTGCACTTAATTACACACTAACACAAAAAAGAGTTAGTGGGACTAAACTTACCAGGAGCGGTGTCATGATCTTCCTTGTTCTGGTTTTTGGCCCATTATTTTTCATTTCGCTTCCTTTTTCTTGGATTGTTGGTTCTCTCAACTAGCACCCCTCCCTCATCCATGTTGCTAAGTGAGCTAAAGACTGTCAAAACACTGTAAATACTGCAGAAATAGGATCGATCTCGATGAAAGCAGCAAGCTAAAAGCTGTTGTCAATCCGGGTCACTGGAACAATACTGCGCTCTGATTGATCAAATCACACAAGGTGGATATAGCGCCTTTTGGAACTAAACACTTTTGGATTTAGCGCCTTTTGGAACTAAACACTTTTGGATTTAGCGCCTTTTGGAACTAAACAATTTTTTTGTGTCAATTTTTTTCATATTTCTGAAAATCATTTTGAGAAAAGGAATGGTGATTTAAATGCGCATGTGCAACTGGTATGTACTCATACTAATAACTCCACTTTGGTAAAAAATGGATTTAGCGCCTTTTGGAATTAAGCTCTTCATATGTAAGTGATCTTATAGCGGTAGGCTGTTTATATGTTGTTCAATAGTTTAGCTATTTAGTGTTTAGTTAAGTGTTTAACTTTTGACTCATGTTTTCAAACACAATCCACGTTTGTTTTCAGGACTGCATGCCCCTGTAAAGTTTTAAAGTTATATACCATTCAAGATTGTTAAGGGTTGATAAGGAAAACTTCGTACTAACCTCATAGCATGCCATGAGGCTGCATGCACGCTACCATTATTGTGCTTTGAACATGTGAGCTAACCATTGATTCACTGCCATGTGCGTGTAAGCACGCATTCGTATTAGCAGTTATTGTGTTTCGCACGCGCTATTCATAGAACCATCGCGTTAATCAGATTATCTCCAAAACAACCTGGCACGGGGGAATTTGAGGCTTGGCACAATGGGGATTAGCCATGTGGCATTTTTTTTCTCTTTACCTCTTCAGAGGGACTTTATTGTTCCATTTCAAAATACATATATATTATTTACAAAACAAGTAAAATGAAACATGAATTATATACAAGATCAACATAATATCTTAAAATGATCATTTTAACATTTCTAATACTTTCTTAACTTCCTCAATATCGAAGTATTTTATATTTTCTTTGTATTTCAAATAACATTTTAATGATGAAATAAAATTATTTATTAACCTCTTTGGATTGGTTGGTACTTCTCCAAAGTTCCGCTTTACGTAGTCTTTGTATATAACTAGTTGAGCATAATTTATCCAAAAATTAAGTAAAGTATATTTTCTGTTATCTATTTTATATCCAATCAATAACATTTTCATATCAATTTCAATTTCTATTTTAAAAATGAAATATATAATTCTTGAGATAATTTTCCAGAAAACTCTTAATTTCTTGCAACGAAATATAAAATGTTCAATAGTTTCTTTTTCACGACAAATTTCACATTCGTTAGACTGTACGATTTTCCATATAAAGAGATTGTCTTTAGATGGCAATATTCTATGAATTAATTTAAAATTATATTGTTTGATCTTATTGTCTCTTATGTTATTAAATTTGAACTGAAATACATCTTTCCAAACAAATGTTTCTGGTAGGCCTAAAATATTTTGCCAAAAATAGAAACCAATTTTTTTCTTTTTTCCTTTCTAGCATTAAATTATAATAACTTTTCGCCATAGTAAATTCAACGTTTATAACATCTAAAGTTGTCTCAATGTACATTGTTTCATTGAGACTTGGAGCTTTGTTTAAACGTAAATTTTGTGACCAATATTTTGGGAATGCTTTTTTTAATTTTGACATTTTAAATAAAAACAACAGATTCTTTACATCAAAATGGTTATTGAATAGAGAGTTATCTATCCATGTACCTTGATTTATAACATGTTTGATTAGACAAATTCCTTTTTTTATCCACGACGGGAAATACAGAGGTTTATTATCAATTACAATATTACTATTATTCCACAGTATTTCATTGGGAATATCTTTTACTTCAAATTTATTTACATATCGAATTTCTGACCATGTGCAAAGCAAATCCATATAAAACATTGGTAAATTTCTTTTTTTACATATCATTTTCATGTGTTTAATATGACAATTATATTGTAAACATAACGGCATCCCGCCAACTCTTTCAGTCCAAAATGAAAATAATGTCTTCCACATCGCATCATCTGCATTAAAAAAACTTATATATCCAAGATAATCTAAGTGAATTAGCTTTCAAAATCAAATCAACCATACCAAGCCCCCCTTCTCTTTCTGACTTGATACAAACATTCCGTTTTACTTTTTCACGTTTAGAATTCCATATAAATGTATATATAGTCCTATGTAAAGCCTTGCATATATGAATAGGCATTGAGACAGCTGTGCCTAAATAGACGAGCTGAGGAATTATCAAACATTTTATAATTATTATTTTTCCATAACAGGTCAGTCGTCTCATTTTCCACGTCTTAAGAATATTATTAATTTTTTCAACTTTCCCCTCCTAATTCATACTGCTAACATATTTATCATTTTTACCAACGTAAACACCTAAATGTTTAATTGGTTCTTCTGTAAATTCAATATCATATTTTGTCGTATCTAATTATTTCATTTTCATTACTTTTGTTTTATTCCAATTAATCTTTGGGCCTGCAAAATATTCAAAATCGTCTAACTCTTTCATAACATTATCTACTGATTCCATTGAATTAACAAATAATGTGGTATCATCTGCGAATTGTGTTATCTTTACTTCACTAACCCTCTGAACTTCTATATCTTTGGTTGTAATATTTATCCCTCTTATTGTATAGTTTTCTCGAATTTTATTTGCTAATATTTCTGCCACTAATATAAATAAGGAAGCAGATACTGGGCAGCCTTGGCGAACGCCCTTTTGAATATAAAAAGTTTCAGATAGCCACCCATGCTGTGACACCCTACCATGGGCATTTGTGTATAAAGTTTTAATCCATCCTATAAAGGAAACTTTGAAATTCATACGTTTCAATGTCTCAAAAAGAAATGAGTGATTTACATTATCAAATGCCTTTTTGAAATCTAAAAATAAAATGACACCGTCAATATTTGTTAATTTACAATAATCAACAACATCTTGTACAAGTCTTATGTTTTCACTTGCCATTCTACCCTTCACGAAACCTCTCTGATCGGCCGAAATTATACTTGGCATATTTGGTTGTAGCCGTATTGACAAAACACGTGCTGCAATTTTATAGTCTATATTAAGGAGAGAAATCGGTCGCCAATTATCAAGAGAACCCTTGTTGCCCTTTTTATACAAAAGATTAAGAATAGATTGACCTTGTGTGAACGAGAGCTCTTGCCTCTCATACCCTTCATTTAAACTATTTATGACCATGTCCTTTATCTGTTCCCAAAAACATTTATAGAATTCAACACTTAGACCGTCACTCCCAGGTGACTTATTTAAATTCATAGTAGACAATGCTTTCCAACATTCCGTCTCTTTTAACAGACCTTCACAGCTCTTGGCTTCCTCTTCTGTTAAACACTTCATGTTTACATTTCTGAAATAATCATCATAATTTGCTCCACTTTCTTCTATCTTACTATACATCATCTTATACAATTGTTGAATCTCTTTTAAAATATCTTCACTGTTCACAATTCTGTTACCATCTTTCTCTATATAATGTAACTCTTTCTTTTTTCCTCTCTGTTTCTCAAGCTGTAAAAAATACTTTGTACATTTTTCACCCTGTTCTAGCCATTTTTCTCTTGATCTGACGTAAGCTCCTTTACATTTCATAGTATACCATTCATCTAGCTCTCGTTTAAGGTTATCTAGTTTTTCTTTATCAGTATCATTTAAATGTTCACCTTCTACTGAACACAACTGTCTTAATTCCTTTTCCATTTTCACATAATACTGTTTCATTTTTTTTTGTTTTAATCTTGCATAACATATACTATATTCTTTTAATTTAAACTTACAAACTTCCCACTGTAGTTGTTTACTCATAGTACTTGTTTCAATCTTAATCTTCCGTATCAAGTCTTTAACATTTTGTACATACATGTTATCATCCAGCAAAAAATTATTTAACTTCCAATAGCCTTTTCCCCTTTTTTCTTGGGATATTTTGATTTTCAAAGATATTGCATTGTGGTCACATTTTAAACATGGTCGAATATCTGTCGAGAAAACTGAAAATTTAAAATCTTTTGTTATTAACCAATAGTCCAGACGAGAGTAAAGTTTTAAAGACAACTGTCGCCAAGTAAACTGTTTCTTGTCTAGAAAAAAAGTTCCTCCATATATCTAACAGCTTATTTCTTGTTTGGAAGGATTTAAAATACTTTTTGGGTAAATATGCGTGAGATATCCCGTAAGTATCTAGGGTTCTGTTCTGCACACAATTCCAGTCACCACCTGCAATCATAATACTACTATCGGGCCTATGAAGTTTTATCCATTGGTCAAGTGATTTATAGAATGTTTCCTTTTCTATACATTTTGCTGGTGAATATACATTTACACAAAAATATGTTTTTAAATTACATGAGAATTCCACAATTATCGCTCTTCCATCTCCTTTTAGATGAACATTAATTATATCAATTGGGAGACCACTGCGAATCAAAATTGCTACCCCTTTCGAGTGGTTGGTTCCGTGATCGAAAAAACAATGCCCTGACCATTCACGATTTATACTATTTTCATTGTCACGTTTCAAAAAAGTTTCTTGTAAAAGTGCGATGTCACACTTTTGATGTTTCAACCACAGAAATATCTTATCTCTTTTCAATTTATTACGCAAACCCCTTACATTAAGGGATATCAAATGTATATTTGAATTGATCATAGTTAATCAAGAACTTCTCAGCATTTTAGCCCTGTGGCATGATAAGAGTTAAAGAAACGTACTCTGAACGAAAGTCTCCAAAGTGTTCGATCCTTAGTGTTCATAAATGTATATAGTTTCCCACATTCGATTAAGATGATTATGAGAAACACGCCTGGTATTCGTTGCAACACATACAAATGTTACATAGGAAAGAAAACAGTTCACACAGCAAGTGAAAACATTGTTCTGGTTTAATTCAAAGAAGATTTAATTTCAGTTTTATATCACAATATGCTTCCTCATTTTAATGCATGTTTTCAAATAACATAGGAAGGGATGTAGTGTTCTAAGATACCATAGAATGCGGAATCGGAAATGAGCTGCTAGATTCAACAGTATAAGAATACACGTGAATAATGGAAGCTGAATAAAGTACCATGCTGAGTTCAAACTAGATTCCTTGTCTTATTTGAGTTATCTCACATACACATCTAACGGTATCAACCATGTTAGTATGTTACAACTACTATACAACAACTACTACTACACATAATTACTAGCTACTGCTAATACTACTACTACTACTACAACTACTACTACTACTAACTAC